ATTTCACAGCAACCATTCAGAGTCACCACGCCAACGGAAGGGTGTTCCTCTTCCTGCCTGATTTTTGCACAGCGAAGATATCATCACCGCCCCTTTGCATACAGTTTCAGAGAGAGAGTGAGAGAGAGAGAGAGAGAGATGTGAATATATATATATATACATGTATGTGTGAAGGGCTGTTGATTATGTATAGAAGTAATCATCGGCTACGCTAAACAACCAAAGAGAGGGGGCAACCGCCCTCTGAAACCTTCCTTCTCTCTTTGAGAGCACAGCCTCGTACTTTGAAACCAAAGCTACCTGAGTACCGATAAACACTCCCTGACAAGGAGGCAGAAAAAGTTTGCTTTGCTAGTCCATTTATGTTGTCATTGTTTAGGTTTTCTTCCATTTTTACCCTCCTCTATTCCTTGCCTTGTAACTTCATTAAAAGGCCCGGACGAATGGAAACAACATATGGGCTTAAGCCCAGTTGATAGCATTGTTGATACTTGGAATCAACAATTCCTTTTTAAAGTATTTTTAATTTGAAAATATATTTAAATAATATATTTTTATTTAAAAAAATATTTTTAATATTAATAAATGAAAAAATATAAAATAAATTTAAAAATAATATAAAATAAATAAATTTTTTTCAAAAACATTTTAAAACAAAAAATAATCAGGCTTTAAAATAACAAGGTAAAACATTATAGTATTTATAGTAAAAAACAAATTTCTGTCCTCTTATCTTTTTTTTTTCAAAAATATCCTTATATGCCTAATTTAAATATAACAGAGCAAGAGTAAATTAATGAGAAAAAATATTGCCAATCTAAAATTCCTCTAAAAAGTTTTTTCTCTCCTCATACTTTTTCTTTTTTATGCCTTTTTATTTTTCTTGAGAGAAGAGAGAAAGTTATTGGTTTATTTTTTATATTTATAAGTTTCGAGAAAAAATTGGAAATGATGGTTTTTTTTTATAAACATAAAAAAATAAATTGAATATAGTTTAGAATTTTTTTTACTCGACTGAGAAAATTGAATATAGTTTAGAATTTTTTTTATTGGCTGAAATTATTTTCATTGAATTTTGGGTTTAGGGTTATTAGGTGGTGTTTTTACAATGAGTTTAGGTGAAACCAGTTTTAAAAATTGAATTTTTAACCCATAAAACATGTTCATTTATAGTCATCTCTGTGGCAGGCAAATCATGGACATCACAACCCATCATCTTTATTTAAAAAAAAAAAGACTAGAAAAAATAAATGATATTTAGCGCAGGTGCACGGGCATTAGCTACGAGCACCGTATACCTCCGCCTTGTTTTGATATTTTTTAATAAAATTTTGAAGTTTTTTTTTTTTTTTGAAGAATGATTTTATTTTGGTGATTAAAGGGGTATTTTTATAACAAGATAATATAACATATAAGAGAAAATATGAATAAATAAGCATATAAAAATTTATTTAAAATAAAAATATTTCATTAGATATTTGAATTGTTAATCTAGATTTATTTTTAGTCTTCCTTCAAAAAATAGTAACAACAAAACACACAACCTAGTATATATATCCTATCAAATTAATAATTAAAGATATGCAATATATATATGCATGTATGTATGTATGTATGTATGTATGTATGTATATGTATGTATATATTAATTTCAATCTTCAGTACTGTGTTTTTATTAATTTTTTAATTGATTTTTATATTTTTTCAATTATATAACTAATTTATTTTTTAAAAATATCACATGATCTAGTTAAGTTTACAGACTAGATTATAAATATAACATGTTAGCTCAAATTAACTTAAATATTTCTAATATATTATCAGTGTATAATTTTAAAGGCTCATCTTGGATTTTTTTTACTCCACCAGTGACCGGGCATAGAGCAAACTAGTAAGAACCACTATCCCATACCCTTTTTTGCATCTTAGCTGATTGAGTTGCCTCGAGTTAAATTTAGCATTTAGTTTTTTTTTACCAAATCAACGAGGCGAGGAGCTCAGCAAAGCTAGAGATTTCTGCACTGAAGTTAGATGAGGCTATTGGCAGCCATGCCATAGTTAAGAATTATTTTTAGAAATGGAGTTATAGTTGTTTAAAAAAATATTTTTCATGTTAGAATGTATTAAAATAATATTTTTTTAGTTTTAGAAAATTATCTTTAATATTAGAATATTAAAATAATTTAAAATATAAAAAATTAATTTTTAACAAAATAATTTAACTTTTTTTAAAATATAATTTACACGGCATCTCATGGCATTTAAAGTTTAAAATGTCTTGAGTCCAAGCTAGATATAAGTTTTTTTTTTTTTTTTTTTTTAT